CCTTGCAGTGCTTGTTCATTCCTGCTCCTGCTGCCCTGGGCCGTCTCCAGCTTCTCCCCACAAGGACTCGCTTTGTCCGAAGACCAGGTGCTTTCTATACTGGGAGGTGGGGAGGACAGGGCTTGAACCCTCACCGAACCTTGGGGCCCAGCCTGTGGTTTCCTCGGCTGGGCACTGGCTCTCGGTGATGATTTCACGGCCTACTTGACTGGCTGTTAAAGCAGAGCCCGAGGGGAAACGCTGGCCACGGCTCTGATTTGGGTGGCTAGGGCTGTTGCTAATAATAAATTAGACAGCTGGGCCACTGCTGCTGAGGAGGAGGCCGAATTACATTTCTCTGTGAAAATCCAGTGCCTGGCTTCCTGATGGAGGGGCAGCCCCTTCTGAAGGATGCCCTGGAAGGGCCTGTGGGACGATGCCAGTGAGTCTGTGAGCATTTATTGAGTGCCTGCTGTGCGCCTGTGGCTGTGTGACGCAATCTCAGGGGGTGTGGATGAGGGTGGGACTGAGTGGCTGGAGCTGCTGTTCTGGGCTGGCCTGAGTTACCCTGTTCCTGGGTGGAAAAGGAGACTTGCTCTTTGCCAAGGCTGGAACTGCCCCATTGGAAAGTTCAACAAGTCATCATAAAGTGGGGCCAGGCCCGTGGAGGCCAAGTTGCCACTGGCCAATTTCTGCTCCTGGACACTGTCCACGTAGCTGTTGTCCACCCAGTGTATTACTCAGGGCTGAGACTGAATCACAGCCCTTTCATCTTACCACCTGTGCCAGCCCTGAGGCCATGGAGCATCTGCAGGAAATAAACCCTTTCTTTTTAATTAAAATTTTTTCTATTTTATTTTTATACAATTTTTAAAGGTTACTTTCCATTTATAGTTATTACAAAATATTGGCTGTATTTTCCGTGTTGTATAATACACCCTTGAGCCCGTCTGATACCCAATAGTTTGTACCTCTTCATTCCCTGACCCCTGTGTTGCCCCTCCCCTCCCTACTGGTGCCCACTAGTTCGTTCTCTATGTTTGTGAGTCTGCTTCTTTTGTTATATTCACTAGTTTGTGTATAGGAAATAGACCCATTTTTACAAGTAATCTAAACACACTGCCTCTGGGAAGACCAATGAAGTCAAGAAAAGCCAAGTGCTCTAAATCAGGAAACACTAACTATCCTGAAGGTACTAGACCATTTCCTAATGGGATAAAGCTTGTTTCCGAAGTGGGTGTTCTAATAGTTCCTCATAGTAGCTGCTGTTTACTGAGTGCTGGCTGTGGACCAGGCCCTGGCTGGGCACTTCTTGTCCACGTTCTCAGTTCATCCTCAGGTGAGCCCTGAAAGGCAGGGGTCTGTTTTCAGGTGAGGGAAGTAAGAGAGACTGCATCACATGCCTTGGGCCACACAGCAGGGCAGCAGCAGGTCGGCCGCTTTCCAGACCTGGCTTTGACCGCTGGATTCTGCTGCCTACTGTGGAGTTGGCCCTCTGTATCTGTGGATGCAACATAAGATTTCAATTGTGATCCCCAGTTAGTAGAACCTGCAGATAAAAGAGGGGCAACTGTGTCATGACGTTTGGTAGAAGGAACTTGAGCATCCTGGGATTTTGGTATCCATGGGGGCCCTGGAACCAATCCCCTGCACATACTGAGGGACGACTGTATCTTTCTACTGTACGCAAACCTCAGTAGCTCTCCACGGCCTTCTAAATATATTATTTTGTAGTATTTTCTGTGTATTTATATACACACATATAGGTAATATTAGGTTTTGTGTTTATAAAAATGAGATCATATTCTATGTGATATTCTGATTTACCCCCTGACCCCTGACTTAATAAATCTTGGAAAGAGAGCATCTTATGTAAGCAATATAGATCTACTGCTTTCTTTTTGAATGGCAAGTGGTTTTTTTGTTTTGTTTTGTTTTTAAAAATTTTATTTATTTGTTTACTTCGATGGAGGTACTGGGGATTGAACCCAGGACCTCATGCATGCTAAGCATGTGCTCTACCACTGAGCTATACTCTCCCCCTGGAAAGTGGTTTTTTTTGAACAGCTTTATTAAGATATAATTCACATACCATAAAGCCACTCATTTAAAGTGTACAGTTTAATGGGTTTTTTTTAGTATATTTACAGAGTTTGTAATGTGGTAACATTAGCACGGTCAATTTTAGAACATTTTCATCACCTCAGAAAGAAACCCTATATTCTTTAGCTATTATCCTCCAAATCTCCCATTTCCTTCAGCCCTAAGCAACCACAAATCTGCTTTCTGTTTCTACAGGTTTGCCTATTCTGGACATTTCATATAAATGGAATCATGTACTATATGGCCTTTTGTGTCTGGCTTCTTTCACTCAGCATTATGTTCTCAAGGTTTATCCATGTTGTGGCCTGTGTTAGTACTTTCTTTTTTTCTTTTTTTTTTAATGGCTGAATACGATTCCATTATAACTATATGCCATAATTTGTTCATTCAAAAGCTGATGGACATTTGGGTTATTGCCACTTTGGGTATTAGGAATACTGCTTCTGTGAGCATGGGTGTACAAGTCTTAGAGTGGACACATGCTTTCACTTCTCTTGGAGGTATATGCCTAGGAGTGGACTTGCTGGGTCAAGTGGTAATTCTGTGTTTAACTTTTTGAGGAATTGCCAAACTATTTTCCGTAGTGACTGCTCCATTTTACATTCCCACCAGCAGTGTATGATGGCTCCAATTTCTCTGCCTTCTCACCAACACTTGTTATTATTTTTCTCTTTGGTTGTAGTCATTCTAGTTGGTGGGAAGTGATCTCTCATTGTGGTTTGGATTTGTATTTCCCAATGACTAACGATGTTGAGCAGTTTTGCATGTGCTTGTTGTCCATTTGTATGTCTTCTTTGGAGAAATATTTAATTCAAATTCTTTGCTCATTTTAAAATTCAGTTATTTAACTTTTTATTATTGAATTATTATTTAAATTCAGTTATTTAACTTTTTATTATATTCTAGGTATGAGTCTTTTGTCAGATATATGATTTGCAAATATTTTCTCCTAATCTGTGGGCTGTTTTTTCACTTTCTAGTGTCCACTGAAGCAAGAAAGTTTAAAATTTTGATGAAGTCTAATTTATTGATTTTTTTTCTTGTTGCTTATGCTTTGGGTGTCATATCTAAGAATCCATTGCCAAATCCAAGGCCAGAAAGATTTACTCCTGTGCTTTCTTCTAAGAGTTTTGTAGTTTTAGCTCTTACATTTAGGTGGTTGATCCATTTTCAGTTAATTTTTGTATGTAGTGTGAGATAAGGGTCCAGCTTCATTTTCTGCGTGTGGCTATCCAGTTTTCCCAGCACAATTTGGTGAAGAGAGCCCACTAAGTAGTCTTGGCCCTCTTGTTGAAAATCAATTGCCATAGATATGTGGATTTACTTCTAGACTCTAAATTTTATTCCATTGATCTGTAGTCTATCCTTGTGAGTACCACACTATCTTCATTACTTTTGATTTGCAGGAAGTTTTGAAATTGAGTAGTATGAGTCCTCTAACCTCATTTTTCTTTTTCAAGAATGTTTCGGCTATTCTCGACCCCTTGAGTTTCCATATTAACTTTAGGATCAGCCTTTCAGTTTCTATAAAGGATCCAGCTAGGGTTTTCATAGAGATTACATTGAATCTATAGATCATTTTGGAGAGCATGGCTATCTTAATCATACTGGCTCTTCAAATTGCAATCATGGATTTATTTCCATTTATTTAGAACTTTTAATTTCTTTTCGATGTTTTGTACTTTTCCGAATAAAGGTTTCACACTTTTGTTAAATTTACACCTAGTACTTTATTCTCTTTGGTGCTATTGTAATTGGCATTGTTGGTGGGGAGGTGAGAGACTCTGCCACTAATGGGCCAGATTTAGGCTGGGAGAGGTCACTTGGAGTCTGCAGCAGGGCCAGGTCTCTGCAGATGACTCCACAAGGGTCCTTTCCATGGTGGTCCCCTTAGAATTCTGAGGGTGGTGGGGGCTGCAGGCAGTTCTGGTCCATTGGTGCCTGCAGAAGGTGGGAGGGTGGATGCTCTACCTCTGCATGAAGAAGCTATAAGGACATGCTCAGTCCTCCTTCTCACTGCTTCCTTTTGTCTCCTAGTCATCTGGGGACTGTCTGTTCTGCGCGCTCACATATTCATGGTTTGCCAGTGCCCAGATGTGGGCAGTGATCTTACGACAAGAAAGTGTAGCTGTTTTCATGGAATGGGAAGTGGGGACACTTCTGGGGGGAACCTCTGCGTGTGTTTTGTTAGAGTGGAGCTTTCAGCCCCTCACCCTTCCATTCCACTTTCTTTTTCTCCTTTCTGTCTCACCTGCAGTTTACAAAGGTGGCACCAAAGTAGGTTAAAAGTTTGGGCTGATGGAGTTTGAGATTTAAAAAAATAACCCATACAGGCCACTGGAGGCTGCGGTTCAATGGTTCAATGGTTTTCAGGCTTTGCTCACAAATTCTTGGGTCGCAAAAGGTAGGGGACCGGCAGGCAGAGGTGGCACCTCAGGGGCTCAAGCTCCCATGGCTGCCTTTGCCGGAGCATCTCTGCTTTTACTGGTTTTAGATGTAGTTCTAAGTGAGGCTTTGTGTGAGGAGACAGAAAGGCTATCTTGCCACAAAAGTTGGAAAACTACTTGTGTGGGACATTTTGGCACCCTGTTGGATTGAAAACATCCCAAACATGAATCCTGTTGGAGGCTGAATCCTGGGGCCCCCTCGGGCCCCTCCCTCTTGACCGAGACTGAGTAACTGTTTTCCCCAGGGCCATTTGCCAGCCCAGGCATGCTTTTTTCCCCCTCTTGTTGTATGAAGTGCTCTGGCCCTCCAGCCCTGCAAAGGCGAAATCAAATTATCTTCTCTCTTGATCCAAATGAATTTTGTCCCTGGGGAAGCCCTGGGCTGAGCTTCCAGTCAGTAGGAAGGCTTTCTCAGCAGACCTCCTGGCTGACGCTCCATCTTTCTCTCCCCACCTTCTTTGTGTCTTTCAGTCGGCAGAGTTCTTCGAGATGCTGGAGAAGATGCAGGTGAGCATCCCAATGTGAGCTGAGCCCCGGGCGGGGATGCTGCAGTGGCCTCAGGGGACACAACGTCGGGCAGAACCCACGGGCAGAACTTGGGAGCCTTGGAGGGAGGGCAGAGAACAGAGAACAGTCCTGGTGGCCCGGACTACCTGAGGCCATTTCCATGGTGAACCACACAGAGGGTTCTGGGACGGCTCCTGCCGGAAGGATGGAGAGTAGACAGAACCTGCCAGCAGGGCAGATGGTTGTGGGGAGGGTTTGAGAGGTTCCCTTGTCCCTGGAGAGGGTGGGATAGAAAGCCCCTTCCGAGGGGAGTCATCTCACGTCTGGGAGACAGAGCAGTGGAGTGGGAGACAGACCTGAGTTCAAATCTTGCATCTGACACTTGCTAGCACTAACTCCTTCCCTTTTCTAAGCCTCTCGCTCCTGTTTTCTGTCCACTTATGGCACTGTTCTCCCCTCACCCCGACACCAAACATGTGGGAGTTTTCCCACACCAGGCAATTCTGCAACGCCAGCTGGGAGCCCTACGATTTCATTCAGTTCTGACGCTGGCTACCTGGAGATAGAGTCAGATCCCACAGGTGAAGGGCTCAGTCCCACAAGACCCTCCTCTCCTGATTTCAACACCGATTGCAAGTCCAGGTTGTCACCCATACTTCTGACCCGTTGGCTATAAATTGGAGGTTCCCATGACCTCTTCCTTGGGTTCCATTAATTTGCTAGAGCGGTTCACGGAACTAAGGAAAGCAGTTTACTTACTAAATGATCAGTTTGTTATAAAAAGAAATAACTCAGGAACAACCAGATGGAGCAGTGACCTAGGGCAAGATGTGTGGGAATGGACAAAACTTCCGTGCCCTCTTTGGGAACAACACGTGTTCACCAACCAGGAAGTTCCCCCAAACCCTATCCTTTCGGCTTTTTGTGGAGACCTCTTTACGTAGGCATGGTCAATTAAATCACTGGCCATTGGTGACTGATCAAACCTCCAGCCATTCTCCCCTCTCCAGAGGTTGGGGGTAGGGCTGAAAGTTCTAACCCTCTAATCAGGGTTGATTCCCCTGGCAGCAAGCCCCCGTCCTTAGGGGCTTTCCAAAGTCACCTTGTTAACATAAACTTATGAAAAATAAGATACTCCTTTCATCTTTACAGCTCTGGAGCTCTTTCGGGAACCAAGGACAGAGTCCAAATGCTATAACAAAAGATACTCTCATTGCTCTTATCACCCAGGAAATTCCAAGGGTTTTAGGAGCTCTGTGCCTGGAATTGCATGAAGACCAAATATATATTTCTTATTATAAATCACAATATCACAGTTTCTATAAATAGGAATACAGTATGCCCATTTACATGGTTGTTGGAATGAAATGAGATGATACCATATAATACATGATAGGCATTGCACAAAAATCAGTATTCAATATGGATTTGGGGGTCCTTTATAATCACCCCTCACCAAGGGGTCAGGGCTCACAGGTGAGAACTACTGCCCTAGGGAATCTGGAGAGACATCCAGAAGGCTTAATAGAGGTAGGTGGAAAGAGTGAAAAGATGCATGGGTTTCAAGCACCCCTCTGGGCTCAGAGATTGGCAGGTGTTATCTCGTTCCTTCCTGACAAGGCCCACAGAAAGTAGGTATATTACTGTTATCCCCATTTCACAGGTGAGAAAACTGAGGCACAGAGATATTAAATAAAGCACTCAAGGGCCCAGGGCTAGCAAGGAGCTTCAGAGGCAGAAATTTTCGTGTTACAGTATGGTGCTCTTTACCCTAAGGAGATGCTGTAGGTTCCAGGAAGGAAGATTCTGTAGTGATGATCTGGAAGGTCTAGGAGGAGATGCAAATAGTGTGTTCACAGCGGTCCTGAGCTGCAGGAGGAGCTGCTGAGAGGGCTGGTATGAGCAAGCATGGTCTCCTCAGGAAAGCCTGGTCTCCCTAAGTGGGGGGTGGGGTGGGGGTGGGTGCTGTTTGAGGGGAAAATATTATTAGCGGTTGTGTCATTAGCACAAGCAAGTTGTTAAAATCCCCCTCCGTGCCCAGCAGCGTGTGGACTACAAACTATATACACTTAGGGAACTTGCAGAAACAGGAAAGGTACGGGCCTAGCCAGCGAGTCGTGGGAGGCAGTGTATAATTAAGTGCTCAGTTGATTGGAGTAAAGCTAGGATTTTCACCTAAAGCCATGGAATCCCTGCACTTGGCAAGCTGGAGGGGAATTTGCAGCTCACCCTGCCTTCTCTCTGGTTGACCCCACAATCCACTCACCCCTCAAAGCCCTCGGTCTTCCCAAACAAAAGGGCTTCTCTGAGAATCCAACCCCACTTAACAGCCTCATCGTTCTGTTGTTTTGAAGCTGTTGGGTTGTCGTCTCAACTAGATTGGGAGCCTGTCAAGGGCAGGGGTCTGGGTTTTATGCTTCCTCTGTGTCTCCATGGCAGGCAGCTGACACTTCTTGGTAGGTGGTCAGTTCCATCTCATTTGAGATGGCTGGGGGCTGAAACCACACTTCCCAGTGCTTAGGCCTCTCCCTCGTGCCCCCTGGGCCCCGGCCTGCGAGGGGCCACGGTTTCCAGGTCCTCTGCATGTACGAAACTCACACAGGGAATTGGCTGGTGTGAAGCAGGCTGCCCGGCGTGGCCAGAGCCAGTTCTTGCACGTGGACACCAACTCTCCTCATGCTGCGGGCATGGAGACTAAGCCTCAGAGCAGTGAAGCGTGCAGGGCACTCAGTGAAGAGCTGAAACTAAGATCCAGGACCCCTGACCTCCCAGACCGAGAGCTGAGGGATTTGAAGAGGGGCACAGTCCCTGTGAAGCAGCAGGAACCAAGTGCACAAGCTTTGGATATCTTTGGTCCTGGGTTCAAGTTCTAACCCTGACACTCTAGCTGAGTGTCCTTGGTCAAGTCACTGCCTCTGAGCCTCAGGGTCTTCATGGCGGGGGCAGCGGGGCATAATCATAATACCTATTGCATAGGATGACACAGGCAGGGGGCCGATGCTGAGCGGTGGGTCTGTCGTGGGGGAGGGTAGTTTGCACTCCTGCCCAGGGGCTGTTCCCAGGCAGGGATGACTAATGCAGGACAAAGAGAACCAGCTCCTGACATTACTCCCCTCCCCATCCTCCCAGTTTGTTTCCCTGGACAGGGTCTGCTGGCCACTAAAATGATTTTCTCCCTGCATGGGGACAGGAGCACCTGTCCAGCAGGAGGGCCTCCCAAACCCTCTTGAACAACACTGCAGGTGACTCAGCCCAGTCAAGTCCAGAGAAGCCCAAGTCCAAATCCTCCCAGTGAGCAGGAGTCCTGGGCTCCAAGGGCTGGGGGATAGGGTCATGCACTTGACCCTATCAGTCATGGTGTCTGACCCTTGTGGTGACAGATCTGTGAGGTGGGGGTGTGGGTGTTAGAATCCTCATTTCGTAGATGGAACCAAGGAGGTGGCAAGAGGCTCAACTTTGTCAAGGGTCCCCAATAGTAAGACAGCGGCAGAATGAGGACCAGGCCACATGCCTGTCACCTGTGGGCCCTCCCACGAGAAAGGGCTGGAGCTGGAGTGGTGTGAGGTCCAGCTTGCTGGCTCTGACACCCTCAGATGGGGGTTCCCATCCTCACCCTTCACCTACTGGCTCTGAGAGCCTGGAGGAGATCTTTAAGGACCAGGAATAAAACACTGCCTACCCGTAGCTTTTACTATGTACCCACCATGCTTCCAAGGGCTTAACACCTTGTCAGCATTTAGCCTTCACTACAAGAGTAGGTGCCATTTTCATTCCCAGTTTACAGATGGGAATGCTGAGCTAGAGAGGTTTTGTGACTTACCCAAGGTCATCTGGTCATAAGTAGCAGTGATGGGATTTGAACCTGGCTTGAATCCATGCTCTTAACCCCCTTCCCTGCTGCCTCGCCTAAGTGTGTAAGGGCCCAGCACACGCCAGCTGCTGCTGCTATGATGACTAACCCCCAGCTGCTCCTGAGAGACTTCTGTTTGGCCTATCTTCTGTGACCTTTGCTTTTCTATAGATCCTCTTTTCCTTATTTCTGCAGGGGATCAAGCTTGAAGAGCAGAAGCCGGGACCCCAGAAGAACAAGGTGGGCTGGGCGGGCAAGGTGGCAGCCAGGTGGTCCCGGCGAGGGGGGCTGGGTGAGAGGCAGGGGTCACAGCTGGCGTGCTGGGGTCTGCTGTCTGAGGCTGTCTAACTCTGATTTTCACTAAGAGCCGCTTAAGTGGCTGCACTGTGTTGACTGGTGTACAGTGGGCAGCACCGGGGACCCTGGCTTGATACCTTTGGGGCAACTTCCGGGTGGGCTGGGGTGGAGGCCTTGGTGGCTCACGGCTTAGCCTGGCTCCTTCGCATCTGCTCCTGCGAATGAACTACATGAAGCGTGTAGGGTCTCAGGTCTGTGCTCCAGGCTCCAGAGGCATCATCTCTCAGCTTCAGCTTCTATGGCCAAGCCCAGGGATGCAGCTCATCACTTGTAGGTCAGCCTCCTTGCCTGGAGGGAGCTGGGTGGGATCAGGGGTCGTCTTCTGGTTACAGCATCACAGGGTGAGAAACTGGGTCATGAGGGTGGAACTCAGTGCTTTGAGCACTGCATCTTCAGCTGGCAGGGTGTGCACTTAGGTTCTGTCAATTTGGGGAAGAACTCAAGAGAAGCCATTTCCCAGAGCTGCCTCTGATGTTCTTCCCAAAGCCCTGGTGCAGCCTGTCAGGCCCCCAGCCCACCCTCTTCCCCACCTGGGAGAGGGGAATGGAGACAGTGCCAAACTTTATGGGCACTGCCGGGACTAACGCTGACATTGTCTGGTTTGTCTGGCAGGACGACTACATCCCGTACCCCAGCATCGATGAGGTAGGAGCCCCCTGGCTGCACTGTGGCTCTGGGTCCCGTCTCAGGGGTGGGGCTGGGGGAGCTGATGGTGGTGATGTTGATGGTCCCTCCTCCACCTGACGTGGGAGAGCACCCTGGATTTGGGACTTGAGGACCTGAGACCTTGTCCCATCTTTCTCTTTGTGACCTCAGCTTTTCCACGTTTAAATTGGGGGTGCCCATCCACACCTTGCACCCCTGGTGCTACAGGGTGAGTGAAGCTGGAGATGTTTTAGGGCTTACAGGGGGGGTTCATGTTATTGCTTTTGGCCTCAAAGATGGAGTCGCCTCCTTGGAGCAGTTCAGAGGTTGGGGAGCACCATCACCGGCACTCCTCCCCTCCTCCTGCAGACCTGGAGTGGGCTGCATTATCAGACCCTCCCTCTGCCTCCAGGTTGTGGAGAAGGGAGGCCCGTACCCCCTGATCGTCCTGCCCCAGTTTGGGGGCTATTGGATCGAGGACCCGGAGAACGTGAGCACGCCGACCTCCGTGGGCAGCAGCACTTGTGAGGAGGAGGAAGAGGACAGCCTCAGCCCCAGCACGTTTGGCTACAAGCTTGAGTGCAAGGGCGAAGCCAGGGCCTACCGCAGGCACTTCCTGGGGAAGGTGAGGCCCAGGGGGCCCAGGGCAAAAATGACTGCAGGAAGGAGGGCGCACCCAGGAACCCAGCGTTCCTCTCCAGGGCCCCTTTCTCTCTGTCTCTCCTCTTTCAAGTCCTGCCACATCCCTGCTGCCTGCCTCTGTCCTCCTTGAAGAGATCTGGTCGGCTCTGCTTCTGGATGGGTGCACGGAGGGTGTGCAGAAGTCAGGGAGGCCAGGAGTGATGGGAACGATGGGTCTGCTGGGACTCACCCCCAGCAAATGTTTTAGGAGGTGATGGAGTGGGTAGTGTTTGGGGGTGAAGGAAGGTGGAAGGAAAAAATAGGTTCTCACGCCTCGGAAATCTGTTTCTATCAAAATAGTACAAAACTCTCATGTCCTCATTCAGGCAAGTCCTCTGGGTACTTGTATGGGGTGATGGGCTATGAGCCTCTGATTGCTTAAAAGTGACAGTATTCTTTAAATATATTCTGCCCTTCGGACTTGCCAGGTTCTGGAAATCCCAGGGCCAGATTCTGGAAGTCTCCAGCCTCAGGCAGTGTTGTTTGCAGTCTCAGGAGCTGTCTCAGAACCCCCTGGGGGAACTTGTGAAAAATGCAGATTCCAGCACCCCTGCTCCCCGATGTAGCAGGTCTGGAATGGGCTCCCTGAGCCAGGGAGAGACCCACTGACCAGAGGACCTCCCGGCTCCCCTTGGGTGGAGGACCAGAGTTCCTCTTCTCTTTATTCCCATGAACAGTCTGAACTGGTGAGGACTGCCCCTGTGAGCAAGGAAGTGGACTTGATATCTTATGGTGAAGAACTTGTGCTTTGCTCAAGTCAGATGTGGGTTTGAACTCTGGATCTTTCACTTACTTGTTGTATGACCTTGGTTAGTTAACCTCCCTGATGATGGTTTACCCATCTGTGAAATGGGGCTGATGATGTTTTCAGTTGCATGAAGTTGAAGCCAGGATTTCAGGAGATAAGGGTTATGATGCCCTAAGCCCAGTGCCTGACACATCCTAGGACTTGGCAGTTGGAACCTATGACTGTGACCCTTTTCCTCCTCCCCGTCTTCCATTCTCCCCGGCATCCCACGCCCCTTAATAGCAGCCACAGCAGTAGCATCCTTTTCTTCCTGTTACTGGGCTTCTCACTCCTGGCGAAGGAGGTGATTTGGGGGGCCATATCTCACATGCCCCCCCACCCCAACTAACACCTGATTCCCGTTCCTAGGATCATCTCAACTTCTACTGTACCGGCAGCAGTCTGGGGAACTTGCTCCTGTCCATCAAGTGCGAGGAGGCCGAAGGCACGGAGTACCTTCGGATCATTCTCAGGTGGGGGTTGGTGCTGTTGGAGGCCACGCCTCTAGTGGCCAGGACCCAGAAATACCAGCCTAACCAGTCTGGTGTGGGTGTGCTGGGGGAAACGGACTGGCTGGAATCTTGGGGCTATGTCTGAGTTGCCAGGCAAGGTGCCCAGGTGTTTATGCCAGCTGGCTGATTGTGGGAGTCAGAGTGGTATCTGGTCTCAAGGTCACCTAGACCATCCCCCAACCTGTCTTTCTCTCTTGCAAAGACTGTGACTTTGTGGAATATGGCTCATTCTGCTGAGATACAACTCCAAACTGTCCTGGGAGAGGGTTTGCCGGAACACGACCTGCAGTGTGCATCCAGTCAGGGAAAATAGATCCCAAAGCATCTGTGTGTGTGCTGGGTTCCCTGGGACGGAATGGTGATCACAGTGGGAGCTCTGACTCACAGCCAAGCCAGGGACCTCTCTCTGGATTATGACCTTCTCCAGGGCAGGAACTGGAACTGGTTTCTGTTTGGTTTGACTAACGTACTTTGTAGAACTTCCTTTGTACCAGGAACTGTGAGAGGTGTTGGGAATGCAATAATGACAGACGGATGGTCTGTGTTCTCTGCAGGCTTACATTCTAGTGGAGAGAAACACAGAGGATTTTAATATGCGGCATGGGCATTTATATTAGTGATAGCCCAGGATGCTATGGGGGCACAAAGAGTCTGTCTTATTTATCTCTGTCTCTGGCGGGCTGGTGGAACAGCCAGGAAGACCAGTACTGGTGCTTAGCAGTGTGCCATGAACCTGTCAAGCTCCCAGTCCATCTTCGTGAGTCTAATTGGAAGTCCTTAAAGGTATTTGGGAAAGAGCAATAACATTTGCTTTTCTGCCCCAAATTCGAGATAAACATGGGAGGGGACAGGGACAAATAGCCCTGCTACTGGAGAGGCAGGAAGGAGGCTGGTACAAGGAAGTTGTCAGCACTCATCCAATTTTGATTTGCTTTTTATTAGGAAAGGAAGCAATTTTCTTTGCTGAGGTTCACCTGGCTAGAAATGATGTTTGCAGGGCAAGGAAGAGTCCATTAGATTGCTAGAGTCAATTTTCTGAGGGAGTAATACCTGGATCCCATTCTCCTAATAGGATTTTGAGCTAGCTGAACCTCTGTGAAGAAAATTACTTCCTTTCTTAATAAAAATCAGATCCAGGTTGGATTTCTGAGGAAGACGACAATTGGACACAGGGATCTAACCCTCTTTTTCTAATACTGTATCCTACCCGAAATGCTGGACCTGGACTAAAAACTAGAGAAAGATGCCAGGCACACAACATACTTTGATGATTTTTTAAAAAATAATCTATGGGGCAGTTAGGACTGTAATATAGGTGATATTGAGAGTTGAACCCCGAGTGCCTCTTCCTTAGAAAGCAATGTAGTTTGAGAATGTACGAAATTGGAGGTTTGGGGAGAATTCTGTATTCTTTAGAAGTAAGAGTGAGCCTTGGAACAGTCAGGGTTATTTCTACTGAGAACCACTTTTGATGTATTGGGTCAACAGTATTTGAAATCTGTGCTCTGGAGAGCCCAAGGGTAAGCTCAAATGTGGTTCTCCCAAATAGAAAGCCCGTGAGTGGAGTGGCAGAGAGAAGCCATACACCAGCTAGGAAGTTGGGTAATCACATCATGTACTTGGAGCGATGGCCAAATTGAAAACTACACATTAAAGAAATTGGCCCCATAGCCTAGTAACTTTACCAGGCACAAAGAAGAAATTATGCAGAGATGAAATTCCCTTGCTAGCAGTAACTCCTGTCCCAGCTTCTTCCTCATTCCCTGTAGGCTTCTGGATTATTTAGTTGATGTCTTATAATAACCAGCTCTCCAACTTAAAATCCAAGGAGAGTATTCTAACAGCCTCTCTGCCTGCCATGAGAGTAGCAATGAAGAATCTACCCACAATTTCAAGATAAAAAACAAACCTGAGTAGATTTCTCTCTACTTTTTCAAGTCTGGATAGTGAAAAAAAAAAAAAAAGGAGGAGGGGGAAAAAAAAAAAAAGGAGGGGGGGGAAAAAAAGGAGGGGGGAAAAAAAAACTCTTGTGGGTCAGTGAAGGAAAAGATCATGATCTCAACACTTTTCTAAGCAACTGTGGGGCCAAGGAGGAAATCAGAGCTGAAGTTATAGACTATTTATCAAATAATGACATTTAAAATGCTACATATAAAAATATATGGGTTGTGTCCAAAGCTACACGTGGAAGAAAATTAATTGCCTGAAATACTTCTTTATTCAATAAGAAAGAATAATATTTGCAAGTTTCTGGTGTTACTAACCTCTCTGTGCCTCAGTTTCTTAATCTGTGAAATGATAGTAGTGTCCACTTTAAAATTATTGAATGTTTGTCATGTGCCAGAGCCTGATACATTGTAGCTACTCAAGAAAGGTAGCTGCTATTATCAGTATTATTGCTTAAAGTAAGAGGAAGGGATTAACAAAGATTAAAGCTGAAACAAATAAATCAGAAATTTAAAAAACCCACGAGATTTGATAAATAAATCTAGTCTACAGATTTATTTATAGCCTGGAAAAAGAACAAAACAATAACAAAATACGTAACTGTTAGCTAGTTATAATATGCAATAAAAAATAAAAAATAAGATAAAACTTCATTAAACTGAAGGCAGGAAAGAAGGGAAAAAAGGAAAGAAAATAGAGGGTTATAAAAAAAACACAAAATGCTAAAAATAATTCCAAATACATTAGTAATCACAGTAAGTATAAATAAATTAGCCTATGAAAATATTAGACTATTAGATTGGACTGAAAAATACAGCTATATTCTGCTTACAAGAGACATGCCTAAAGAAAAATCATGTGGAAGGATTTAAAATAAAGAAATGGAAAAAGATAGATATGCTGGGAAAGTACTAACCAAGAAGTTTGGTTGTAGCAATATTAATATCAGACAAAATAGAACTTCAGGAAAAAAAGCATTACTAGGGATAGAAGGAGCATTCTGTTGTAACTTGGGAATCTTTCTTTCCTACTCCTGGTGTTTCCTGCCCTGTGGAGGTGACACTTCAGTGTGGCACCCCTGGCTGTCTCATAGGTGAATGTGGGAGCAAGAACGTGACATGTGTAGCTGTATTCTTTCCCTTTCCTTCTTGGAGAAGCTGCCCTCAGGTGTCCCCTCTGCTCCCTGGACTATAAATCCCACCTGAGCTGACCCCACGAGAGGAGGTTTGCCCCTGCCCAGCACTGCCTGTGACTTGGGTGGGTAACGGAGTTTTAGTTAGGAGAAGACCCATTTCATCTTCACACTAAGCTATGTGCTTCCTTCTGGCTTTTATCAGTAACAAAGGAGTTATTTTAACTCCTAACTGCCTTACTTTTAATTTCTTTTTTCTGATTTTATTCATAACCTGGCCAGGGAAAGATGTCCTTTGTTGGACCTCTCAGAGGCCTCAGCCTACCAAGTGATAAAGAAAACAGTACACCTGGAAGATTTAACAGTCATAAACTTGTATTTAGTAATGTTCTTTTTTTTTTGAGTGGAGCTACTGGGGACTGAACCCAGGACCTCGTGCATGCTAATTAAGCATGTGCTCTACCACTGAGCTATACCCGCACCCCACCCCTGCCAGTAACATTGTCTTGAATTTAAAAAGGCAAAAACTGATAGGACTATGAAGAGAAGTAGACAAATCCTCGGTTGTAATGGTAGATTTCAGATACTGATGGACCAAGCAGACAAAAAATTATGGGGATACAGAAGATTTGAACAATTCATTAACAAATTATAAAATACATTCCTGAAGTCAACAAAAGGAAAAATATGTATATTCTTTTTAAGCTCACATGGAACATGAAAAAAAAGTCCATGTATCAAGTCAGCAAATTTCAAATAATATCTTATAGATTATGTTCCCTGAATATACAAAAATTAAATTAGAAGTCAACAATTAAAATACTGAAGGATAAAACTTGTACATTTGAAAAATTAAAAAAAATAAGGAAAACCCTTTTAAATAACTCATGGGCTGAAGGGGAAATCACAAAAGAACTGACAAAATATTTAGAACTAAATGACAGTGAAAATACTACCAATCAATGTGTGGGATGCAGTTGAAGTGGTACTTAGGGAGAGATGTATAGTTTTAAATGCATTTGTGAAAAAGAAGAAACATTCCATGTGTAAGCATGCAGGTCAGGATGTTAGAATAGTACGAAAAAACCCAAAGGAAATAGAAGGAAGATAATAAAAAAGGCAAGAATAAGCTAGTGAAGTAGAAAGCAAAAATTTAAAATAAGAGATAATCAACAAAACCAAAAGCTATCTCTTTGGAAAGATTAATAAACTGAACCTCCAGCAGGGGCTGATTAAGGAAAATAGAGAAAAAAAGACAGATAATATTTTAGCAATGAAGGAAGGGCCATGACCACGAATACAGATGAAGTCTTAAGAGAATGCCAAGAACAACTTTATATCAGTGCATTTGATCAATAACTTTATAGGAGAAAACATAAATTACCAAAATTGACTCAATAATAACGTTTAGAAAAACTGAACCTTCACCATTAAAGAACTGAATTGGTAGCCAAAGGTATCTTCCCAACCAAAAACCAGCAGGCCGAGAGACGAGTTTTAGCAAACCTTTAAGGAACAGAAAATCCCTATGGTGTACAAACTAATTCAAAGGATGAGAAGCTCCCTAGCAGTTCTGCCGGGCTGGGGTGGCACCTTGATATCAAAACCTGAAGACAGAAGTATGAGAAAATAGGCCAGCATTATTATTGAGCAGAGATGTAAAACTCTAAATAAAATACAACAAATTAAACTCAGCAGGATATGGAAAAAAAAATACATCATAAACAAGTGGCGTTTTACCCATGGAATGAACAGATTGTGCAACAGAAGTGTAATCCACCAGGTTAACAGATTAAAAACCAAATGATTATCTCAGCAGATGCAGAAGAGCATTGGGTAGAATTCAACACTTTCATAATGTACTGAATGAATCAGGGGAATAGGCTAAATTTGGAGTCCCATGGTGAATCCCTTTTTAAAGCAACTTTCATCCCATTTATATTTTGAGTCAATCCAGATTTTCAAATATTAGTTTTTCTTTTCGGAAAGGTTTCATTGCATGTCAGACCCAAATATATCCAGAAGCTGTGCTCAGTTCTTTGAGAGAACACAGAAAGCCCACAAAGAAACCAAAAAAGTAATGGTGAACTTGAAGGTGGCTATTTGTGTTTCCTGAATTTCATTTGCAGTCAGTTCTACTAGGTGGGTTCTTTGAGTATCCGTTTCCCGTGGGGTCCCTAAGTAGGATTCCTTTTTCCCACCATTGGAGAGCAGTGCCCAATGCCTGGTTGGGTGGAATGAGGCAGGTACTTGCCTGTGGTGACCTCAGCCACCTGCCTCCTTGACTCCACGTCTTGTGGACCCCCCTTTCTCATCCACATCCGTGTGTGCAGGTCCAAAGTGAAGACGGTGCATGAGCGGATCCCCTTGGCCGGACTGAGCAAGTTGCCCAGCGTCCCTCAAATTGCAAAGGTAAAAAGTGACACTGAGAGGAGGTGGCGTCCTCTTTTAGGCCAGGGCTGGCCTCTGGGGTCAGGTACAGGCTTGTCCTGGGTGGGCTCTGCCCTTGGGGAGGGGAAGCCACTGTACTCTTGGGTCCTTGACTGCATGGGTTGGGTAGGGGGCCTGTTGGCGGAGGCCCCCATTTCCCCTTCACTTTCCCCATCTCATCCTTACTGCTGAGGCTGCTCAGGGAATAGGAAAATCCATGGTCTCTGCCCTCAGTTTCAGGGCTAGTTCAAAGAGACAAGAGAAATGGAAAGACAGGGCTGGGTATGGAGAGCAATGTAGGACTTCAGAGGAGGAAGGATGGGTGTGCCGAGAAGCCTTCATAGCAGAGGAGAGTTAGGCTGAAGTATGGCCAGGCTGTTGGTTCAGACAGAGGACCCCCTCAGGTAAGGAGCAATCAGCTGGTGGAAGGGCCCACGTCACTGCTCTGGGATCCTGAGAACTTGGGACCTGAGTCAGCAAAGTTGGGGTGAGAAGGATGGGCAGCTGGGTTGGGTGGGACCCACACCCTGGGAGTGGGAATGCCGGGCAGAACTGTGCTGGGTATTTCTGGTGGCTTCACTTCAACAGGAAACCCCAGGAAGTTCCCTTGACTTTCCTGACCACACGTGAGTGAGCCGCAGAGCCAGGATTTGACCCCAGGCCTCCTGACCCCACAGGTCTTGGCCTCTATGCTCTTGGTGGTCGAAGGGGCCCCGATGCTCCCTGTGGACGGGGCTCCTGAGCTGGTGTTTCTCTCTCCCTGCTTAGGCTTTCTGTGACGACGCAGTGGGGCTGAAATTCAACCCTGTCCTGTACCCCAAGGTGAGGCCCTTCACTCTCCCCTTGCTCAGGGCTCTGCAGCTTGGCACGGATTTGCATGCTTGTGGCTCTGTGGGAAGCTCTTTGCATCTTGGTGGCGTTTTGTGGTGTCTCCATGATAAACCCCCATGTCTCCCTCTCTTCCCACCCACCCCTTCACTGGTCCCCTGGAAACCCATTCTCGGCCATGCCTGAGTGTCCAGCCCACTTGAGTTGGTCCCTACTGTGTGGAGGTGGCAGAGGGGTAACAGTGTTGCAGCTTCTGTGCCTCAGTCTGCTCACACACCTCCCTGAGGCCAGAGCTGGGCTGGAGAGTGATTCTGCCTCTAGCTAGGGGGCGGGTGCAGATCTGGGCAGCCATCACGGAGGGAGTGAGGGGGACAGAAGGCAGAACCCCACAAAGAAAGAAAAGGCCAGACCTCAGCTCCCCGTTGCCAACGTTCCTGTGGCCCTGAGGTCTTACAAGCCCCAGCGCAGCCCCTAGTGAATAAACTGGCTGGTTCTCTGTTACCAACCGGTTTCCTTAGGAATGGGTTGGCCTGATCTTGACCCCAGTTCTGATGTGTGGGTGTGGGTGGGGAGAGAAGCGATATTACCAAACAAGCTCTCAAGCCCAGTCAAGAACAGTTATGGCACGAGAGGGCTTAAATCACCCACGGGCAGTGAATGGCTTTAAATTGGTTATAAGAAGAGACCCAGTGCACCGGCCGCTGCTTCACGAGCCCGCAGGGCCGGGGAGACGCTGTGGAAGCAGGGCAGTGCTTCTGAGCATCTGCTGGGGCTGGTGGCGCTGGTTCGGCTCATTCCCTGAGTCCCAGTTCTGACAACCAGGAACCAGGAGGTGAGATGTTTGGTAGGGGAAGAACGACCCTGTCCTGGCTGGGGCGCTCAGAACGCCCTGGAATAAAGCCTCACCTCTTCATGACTGGGCTTGACACACTGTTATCCCCGCATGGTGGGTGAGCTGACGGCAGGGTCCTCTCCCACACAGAGAATGTGCCAGAGCCCTCTCCTCTTAGACACCCCTTTCAGCCCCCCAGCATCTGTAGGCACTTTCCAGTAATGCGCTGCATGCCATCAAACATTCTCTGTCGCTCAGACTGCCTCCTCTTTATAATTAAAGCTGAATTAGTGAGGTTTAACTGAACATCAAAACCACATCCTAAAGGCCTAACTTAACTACACGTTGGGCAATTTTTGTTGTCAAATCATAGCCGCTGAGAGAACCCGATGATGTTCACGTTTGCCGAGTTCTCTCTCTAGCTTGGAAGGCCTCCGGCTCTGGGAATAATGGAAGAGCAGCTGTATTTTCATGTTTTCTAGATTGGAAGGCTTGCTTTGTCCGGCTGGGATGTGGATCTGGCTGAGATACGTGTGTGTGTGTGTGTGTGTGTTTATAATTCACAGAGTTTAGAACGTTCCTTGGAAGGCGTCCATGGCCGGGTGCCTCTTCCCCGGCTGGGCAGCTACTCTGAGCCTTTGACTCATCCCAGGCGGGAGTTGGGGTGGGGGGTGGGGTGCGGGGGGTGGTGAGGGCTCTCTTCAGAGTCAGGCGGTGATGCTCTTCCAGGGGGAGCTGAGAGCCACATGGATAAGTCATGGGTGACAACCTAAAGTGGGCTGTGTCCTCTGGCCAACAAATTGTTCCTGGTTTGTTCTTCCCGAAGCACAACATGTGATTGAATCCCTCCCTTTTATTGCAGAGAATATCCCAGTAGCCTCCAAATCCTCTCTTCCCTCACAAGCTGCTTCAGCTCTGATCTTTCCGGAAGGTTCCATAGGTGGTGGTGATGATGATGATGGTAGCTGCTCTGTCCTCAGCACTTCACGTGTCCCATCGCACTGAATCTTTACGATTCAGTGTCACACATCCCCACTTAACAGATGAGGACACTGAACCCCGGGGAAGTTAAGTGGCTCACTCAAAGCTCCACAGGGGTAAAAGCAGTGGATTCAAAATTAGAGTGTAGTGTTTCTGACTCTCAGACACCAACTCTTTGAAGCACAGTAGAAAATTAGAAACAACCAGTGGTCAGGGTTTTTTGGGGTTTTTTTGCACATTGAATTAGGGTATGTTCCTCCTTAGAAACCTCTCATTTTATGGATAAGGAGGGACTGAAGTCTGGGCAGGAGCAGTTTCTTGCTCTAAATCATACTGCTGATTAGAGGTGGAATTGGAGCTAGCGTCATCCTCGCCGATGGGTTTTGGGGTCCTGGGTTCACTTTTTACTCCCCAGATAAAACACTGGGGTAAAGTCAGTTTCCTGAGTCCTGCTGGGCTCCCTGTGCTCCCAGGCCTTGGCTGGCACATCTGGTTGGAAGTGGCATGGGTGATCCAGAGGTTTGGCTAGCACCGGGGGAAGCCCAGGGGCTGGGAACCAGCTGTGACCTTTGGAGCTGCATCCTGACCGCCTGCTTCTGACTTCACCCTCTGTCTTCCTCCACGTGTGGCTGTCTCACATCGGGGGGGGCACATTCGCCACCAAAATGGGTGCCTCCCCTTCCATCTGCCTCCTTACTTTGCCTCCAAGTTCACAAGCAGCCTGATTTTTTTCTCCCCATGTTTTCCAGGCCTCTCAAATGATTGTGTCCTACGATGAGCATGACGTCAACAACACATTCAAATTTGGGGTCATTTATCAGAAAGCCCGGCAGGTAAGCATCACGAATCCATCCTGGTCCCTGTATCCTGTGGTTTCGCTCTGGGGACTCTTTTTTTCCCATCCCTCAAGCACGGGAGCCCTGCATGAGATTCTTAAACCTTCTGAGTACAACAACCACGTTTCACACAGTGATTAGACTGAAGGTGGCAGAACCTTCAAGGTGGGCTGCTCCTCTCAAGAAGGCCTGTAGATCCTGTAAGCTTTAATGTTGTTTCTCATGCAGTGAAGTGTGATTCTTCCCGGCTACCTCCGCTCATGTTCAGCAGCGGGCTTTGGGCACAAGAGAAATCGGGCTGGGCGGCGGGAGTGGATTAGCACACCCTGCGTTCCCCTTGCCCACCCCTCTCCCAGCTGGGAATTAGCTTTTTCTCCCCAGACTGGAATAGTGTGCTGGAGCCAACTACGCCTCTCTTCCTAGCATTTGTTCAGTGACCTCACATCAGTGGCTTAAAATCAGCCACAGTGGAAGTATTCACACCAAGGAAATGGGCAAACCCCAGGGCTTCTCTTTTTCTCTTTGGAGAGCCGGTGGTTAGACATTTCCTCAGTACAAGCTGCTCACCCTCCTCAGTCTCTTATAGTGTCTCCATGCTGCTTTGGAGATCGTGGACCAGAATAGTGTTTCTCAAAGTGTGTCCTGTGAGACACTAGTCCAGTGAGGTACTCTGTGAACAAATGTGTTCCAGGGGTGGGGGTGGTCAACTGGAGACATTTCAGAGTTTCTAAGAAACCCCCAAAATAGAGAACTCTCTAGAACTTTGTTGAACTCAATGTTTCCTGTACGTCTTTGACCACAAACTTCCCATCTTTCCTACTGTGAACTTTTATTCACATCGGAGAAGTGGTCTACTGACCACACCAATATTTCCTCGCCTGGTTTGTATGAAAGAAGGTTCCATACCCTCTTCATCTTTGTATCATCCCAGAGCCTAGCATGGTGACTTTAAATTAATACACTCAATTTTTTGTTGCGTGAATGAATGAAGGAATGGAAGGTATGGCTCTGTTAATGGTAGGTCGATGGTATCTTTCAGTATTATCCGTGTCATCTTTTTTGCGTGACAGTCTTTCTTGGCTAGGTGATAGATAACTTCCTTGTCTCAAGATCTCAGACCACAAGAGACATGTGTTCACTTAAAAACACTCTAATTAATGAAGGCTTGAGGAGCTGAAAGACCAACACAGATGAATCCTGTAATTTAAGGGAAATTATGCAGGTAGCGGCTCTAATTATTTTCACATATTGCATTTTTATTTTGTGCAGCTCTGATAATACAGTCCCACTAATTAAAGTTCTCTGCTCATGAAATTTCCGAAGCAGATCTCATAAAGTGATTACAATCCAATGTTCCAGCAAAGTTATAATTACTGAGCATTAACCATCCACCTCTGAGAAGGAGTCTGCATGTTGTTTATGTACCTGACATTGCTAAGGCAAGGTCGGGGCGCACAGGCAAATAAAAGTCTTTTTTAAAAAAAAATTCGGATTGTTGTTTTGCAAACCTACATTGGAGGGGATTCATATGAACATTTGTTGCACCAAAGCCCTATTCTGGTCTTTGGCTATAAAGAAGCCCCTTCTAACTCTGTTTGTCAGGCACTTGGCTAAGCACTGTAGGTGACACAGTGATGACTAGGCTCTCCCTGAGCGCACCGCCAAGCTCAAGGCCAGTATAAAAACAAAGCCAGTGACACCAAGCTGGGTGTAAGTTCTGGACAGAGGTGCACACCCCAGAGTATAAGCTGGATTGTTCTCTCAGGAAAAGATGTATGTTTCCTGGAAGCCGCTGTTCTCCCAAACTCTGGCTTCATGACCTGAGGCAAACAGCACGCTGGCCTGGAGATGCCTTCGTGACATGTGACAGATCAGTGATCCATGTGACAGATCAGTGATCCAGGAAACTCTTTCTGTAAAGGGCCGGATTATAAATATTTTAGACTTCATGGGCCATAATCTTGGTGTTGCAATTACTCAATCCTACCGTTGTAGTGCAAAAGCAACTATAGATGATACTAAGTGAATTGGCCTGGCTGTTTTTCAATAAAACTTTATAAAGATAGTCAGTGAGCCAGACTTGGCTCCTGGCCCATGGTTTGCTGACCCCCCCACTAGAGAGCAGTGTTTCCCAAACTTCAGACATTCACAAACTACAAAAGTTTTCTTTCATCTTAAATGAATTTTTTAAAGGAAATTTGATATCTCTACTCTAATTGGGAAATCAGTATCACTTGCATGCAATGAAGGTAATTCTAAAAAGAAATTCTCTAAAAAACAAAATAAAGTTACTGAAATCTAGCTAGATTCTGTTGCCTATTGAAGGCTGAGGACCTGAGGTCTATTCTTTTTTTCTGATGAAGTAGGCATTAAGGAGACCTTAAGACTTTCTCCTTAAAGTGATTGCACAGACCAGAGTGTCTTTGTGTCATCTGCCGGTTGCCACCTATGGATGTTCATAGCACCTTCAGCTGTTTGCAGAGCCTGCCACTGTGGGCAGGGCCTGTTGAACAGGCAGGGCCACGCAGTGTTTTAAGCCTGTCACAATGGCAGAGCTTGCTACTGTTTTCATCTTTGCTTTATATTTTTTAAAAAAGATTAAACTTTTAATTTTTAGACATCTGTAGATTGACACACAGTTGTTAGAAATAACCCAGAGAGATCTTGTGTACCCTTTGCCCAGTTTCCCCCAAAGGTAATGTCTTATAAAATCACAATGTCACAGCCAGGGTACTGATGGTGGTACAGTCTTATTCAGTGTTCCCCTGTTGTACACACAACCATTTGTGGTGTGTGTGTGCCTTTCATATATATAATTTTATCACATGTGTAGGTTCTATGGTCAAGATACAGAAGGATTCCACCACCAGCACGAGGACCCCGGTGTTTTATAACCATGCTCACCTCCCTCCTGCCCCTGTGCTCCCTTCCCCTCAGCAGTCTCTGATCCCTGGAAACCACTAATCTGTTTTCCAATTTCTAAAGCTTCGTCATTTCAAAAACATTATATAAAAGGGATAATACAGACTGTAATCTTTGGGGATTGGCTTTTTTCTACTCAGTGAGATTCATCCAAGTTCTTGAGTGTATCAGTGCTTCATTCTTTTCCATTGCTGAGTAGTGCTCCATGGTACACACAGATGTACCACAGTCTGTTTAACTATTCACCCAGTGAGGAATAGGGAGCTGGGTTGTTCCCAGTTCTTGACCATTATGAATGAAGGTGCTGTGGACAGTTGTGGACAGGTTTTTGTGTGAGCAGAAGTTTTCATTTATCTGGGATAAGTGCTTAGAAGTACAATTGCCTGGTTGTGCAGTGTTTATTTTTGTAAGAAGCTGCCAAGCTGTTTTCTAGAGTGGTGGTTCCATTTTACATTCCTCCCAGCCATATGTGAGTGATCCATTTTCTCCACATCCTTGCATTTGGTGGTGTTACTATTTTTCATTTTAACCATTCTGATAGATACGCAGTGAGATCTCATTATGGCTTTAATTTTCATTTCTCTAATGTCTAGTGATGTTGAACATTTTTTCTTATTTGAATGTCTTATTTGCCATCTGTATATCCTCTTGAGTGAAATAACTATTTATGTCTTTTGACCATTTTCTAACTGGATTTTTTTTTTTTACTGTTGAGTGTAAGAATTTTAAATAACAGCTTTATGAGGTATAACTCACATACCATACAACTCACAATGGTATGTAACTTATATCTCAATATGGCATACAATTCAGTGGTTTGTAGTATAGTCATAGAGTTGTACAAGTCTGTCTAAATCCAGAAACTTTTCATCATCCCCCAAAGAAACTCCATCCTCATTAGCAGTCACTCCCCATCCTCACCATATTCTGTAGCTCATGTCAACCGCAGATTTATCTCTGTCTCTGTGGATTTGCCTGTTCTGGAAACTTCATATAAATGGAATCACAATATGTGACCTTTTATGTCTAATTCTTTTACTTACTATAAGGTTTTCAAGGTTCATTCATGTTGTGGAATGAATCAGCACTTTATTCTTTTTTCTGGCTGAATTATATTCCATTGTGTGGATATACCACAATTGGTTTATCTGTTTCTCAGTTGATGGACATTTTGGTTGCTTCCACTTTGGGGCTATTATGAATAATATTACTAATCTATTATAATATATTAATTTTATATATTAATATTAGTATTGTAATACTTTAATAAACCTGCTATTATTAACATTCATGTACGAGTTTTTTGTGTGGCCTTATATTTTCATTTCTCTTGGGTATATTCTTAGGCATGGAATTGCTGGGTCATATGGTGACTCTGTGCTTAACCTTCTGAGGAACTCCCAGATTATTTGCAAAAAAGATATCACCCTTTTTCATTTCCACCAGCAATGTATGAGGGTTGGTTCTGATTTTTCCACATCCTCACCAACATTTCTTGTTGTCTTTCTTTTTGATTATATCGTGAAGTGGTATCTCATGGTGGTTTTGATTCGTATTGAGTTTTGAGAGTTCTTTGCATATTCCAGATACTAGTCCTCTGTCAGAAGTCTAACAATTAAATTTTTCATTTTTGGATTGGTTTTTGGTATCAAGTCTGAGAACTCTTTGCTTCAGCTTTGCTTTTTTTTTTTTTAATTGACCACCAGCTTTTGTTTGGATAGAAAGTCCTCATTAACCAGCCCTGAAAATCCAGCTCTGTTGACTGTGAACCTCTTAGTCCTTCCTCCCATGGAAGACAGAGCCACTGGATGGCAAATGTGTTGGGGGAAGGGGGAAAGAAAAAGGGAGCAGGTATCTGGACGACCACGTTCACTTCCTTGGTACCGAGAAGGCTTTGTTTTTTAACTCCTGCCTGGATCCTGTGTCTCTTTCAGACCGTGGAGGAGGAGCTGTTCGGGAACAATGAGGAGAGCCCAGCTTTCAAGGAGTTCTTGGACCTGCTGGGGGACACGATCACACTGCAGGACTTCAAAGGGTGGGTTTCAGCCAAGTGGCAGCTCCAGCCCCACTGACAAGGCCCTAGAGAAAGGATGAGGACCAACAGCTGAGTTTCACGGGGGATGTGTGAGAGTTAAAATACACACACAAGGAATGCGGGGTTACTTTCCACCAAATGGCCAACATTCATTGAGGCATGCTTAAGGAATCAGGGGTAAGGGATAATTCCGAATGGCCGATGATCTGAAAGGCATTGACTTTTGCCCTTAGGATGCGTGATATAATTGCTGCACCTCAGATTTGCCTTCCTCATTATCATTGGCTCAGACTGAGAGTGAAATGAATCCGCCTTCCCTGTGACTTACCTGCCGGGCATCCTGGAAAGAGAGCCCTGTGCAGTTTGTGGGGGAAATGACCCATTTTAGATAATACACAAAAAGAATGGATAAGTAAGAGTTGATGCAAATACCATAACCACCCCAGCAGGAGTCTAGGCAGCCATCGATGGTTCTCTGAGTGGACAGACGGAACACCGGCGTTACTGCTTGGAAAGCTCTGGCTCTTGATTTTCCTTGACAAAGGCAACCCTTGGGAAGGGCCTTCAGTCCTGGCCAACCTGTTCTCTGCTTTGTGGCTGGCACACACCTGAACCCTCAGAACTCCCCACTCCAGCAGCCGCAGTAACAGGACGTCCTAACCTGGGTGAAGGCAGCCGAGCTCCGTACCTGGGATGGAGTCGGTGTTCGAGAATCACTTCCTTCCTCTGCTCCCTTCTCTCCTCTTCTTCTTTCTCTTTTTCCTTTGCGCCTCTTCTGCCTCCTTCAAAGTCATCACTGCGGTCTGGAGTCAATCGCACCTGGGTCGAAATCCCATCCCCACCCTGCATTAACTGTATGACTTTAAACGAGTGACTTAATCTCTGCCAGCCTCAGTTTCCTTCTCTGTAGAAAGGGAGGTAAGGATGGTACTGATCCCACAAGCTTGCTGGAGACTCAAAATAGGTCATGCACACAAAGCACATCATAAGCTTGTGCCAGGCACAGAGTGAGCTGGTTGTCAGTTATTGTCTCATTATACCACCTTCCATTGACGTCCTTATAAGATGTATCCCAATTTCAGAGTTGTTAAAATGTGAAAAAAATGTTACATTAAAAAATTTTTTTAATGGAGGTACTGGGGGTTGAACCCCAGACTTCATGCATGCTAAGCTTGCATCCTGCCACTGAGCTATAGCCCCTCTCCCCCTGTTACATCTTGTAATTAATGAGATAAAGTATATTAAAACCAGGAAGGACCCCAGAGATCATGTAATCCAAACCTTTCATTTTATAGAAAAAGGAAACTGCGGCCTGGAGAGATTAAGTGATGTGCCCAAGGTCATGGGCTATCTTAGTGGCAGAAACTGGTCTAGAACCTGCCTTCTGGCCTCATGTGCTTTCCACCATATGGGGCTGAGTGCATTTTCTGGCTTGTATTACAGTGCTTGGGGTTGGGGGCACCTGATGTCCAGGATCTATTCTATTTCATTTTCTTAAAGGAACCTGCACCCCATTCCTCTTGCTGAAGAACGTGACCCATGGCTAGCAGCCATGTTTCTATAAAGGAAGAAGAGGCAGCTCCCAGAAGCCCACCCAGTTCTTGAGTACTTTTCTTTCCTGCCTGTGAGGAGACAGCCAGAGAAGGGACCTCCTTGGATACCTCACAGCTGGGTGCTGCGTGGTTGGGTCTCCACATCAGGAGCTGGCTAGATAGAAGTCAATCATCTGTCCCCTCTTCTGGCGGACTCCGGATACTCCTGTGGGGCTCAGTACCATCCAACAGGATGGCTGGCTGCCCTGGCTCTGGGCTGAAGACTTGGACATGGCCTTGCAGGGAGCAAAGGCTTATGTACAAGCTTGGGCACCCCTGGCAGCTGGGACAGCATTTGTCTGGGATTGTGGATGGACAACCTCTCTTCTCAAGTGACTGTATGGTGTGGAGGGGACATGGCCAAGGCTTGAAATGGAGGTTCTGCCTTTGTCTTTTAAGTAATGATTTATGGTTAGAACGCCAGGGCTCATGTGCTCAGAAGAGCAGATCTCCCTGCTTTCCTACATCATAACCTCTCTGGCTTTAACTCATGTCGCCTCATTTATTCTCTTGCCCCCATGTCCTTAGGGAAGGTTTACCAATTTGCCCACTTTCCTTCTCTTTCCCCTCCCTCCCCTGGCACTTGCCTGTTTCACCAACAGTTTCCGAGGAGGCCTGGACGTGACCCATGGACAGACAGGGATGGAATCAGTGTACACGATATTCCGGGACAGGGAGATCATGTTTCATGTCTCCACAAAACTGCCGTTTACCGAGGGAGATACCCAGCAGGTAACCGGGTTTGGGAGGGCTTCGGGAGCCCAGGGTGTGCGAGGTGAGAACCTGCACCTGGCCTGCTCTCCCCGAGGGACCGAGGCCCCCTTCCCTATTTTCATAATCAAGAGGCCCGTCTGTTCAGCCTTGTTCCTCCTATCAAAGTCTGTGCTATTGCGTTATCTCACCAAGGCCGCAGGTCAGCAGCCTGTGCGGGAGGCAGGACAGGGCCCCTGGTTATCTCCCTGTGACCAATGGGGAAATTGCAGCTCCATGTGGTTAAAAACTATTTTCCAGGTGATCGGGGCAGAGCTGAGACCAGAGCCAGGTGCCCAGATCATGAAGGGTGGTGGTGAAGAGTTACATGACAGGATCTGCAGATGGTGGCTTGAAGGCAGCTCTGCCACTTAGGGGTTTGACTCTGGGCAGACCAGATAACCCTGTGGCCTCACTTGCCTCATCTATAAAATGGGGATAACACCAAGGACATCAGAGGGTTGTTGTGGGGATCACATAAGGGTCCAAATGTAGGGCTCAGTACAATGCCTGGCTTGTGGCCGGCTTCCTAACGGACCCATTTATTTCTGAGCAGAGAACTGGGAGGGAGCACAGATGTCATATTGTAAACATAGTGCCTGGCTTCTTAGGAAAAAAGGAAATTGGCAAATGAGACTGTAATTTGGCTCTAAAATAACTACTGAATGTTCCAGAAACAAATAGAAGCAGGATTCCTTTTGTTTCCAAAGTAGGTTTTCTCTCAGCATTTCACCTTCAGTCTCTGCTCCCTCATGGCCCCCCTCACCCCTTGCCCCAGCCTGAGGCTGAGGGCTGTTCTCTGCCTGGATCACTCTCAGTGTCACCTCTTAAGTGGGACGTGCGCAGAGCTTGGCTCTCAGCAAGGACTGAATAAATATTCATTTTCTTTTGCTAAGAAATGAGATGATGTGTGTGGAATAAGTGAGACAGTTTATAAAAGTGCCTGGCATGGGGCTCAGTATATAGTAGGTTCTCAGTAAGTGGGAAACCCCATGTGAAACATCAGGCTTGCATACAGTAGGTGCTTAATAAAGGAACAAATGTGTAGGTAAGCACCAAGCCAGGATTTGGTGTCCAGGAGGGCCTTAACATTTGAAATCATGCATGTGAACAGCCCAGCATGGTTCCTGACACACAGTAGGTGCTTGGTGATTGGGATCGCCTGTGACAGCACCTGGCTGAGCGTGGGAAGCTGAATTGGGGTTGGATTTCTGTCTCCCCCCATGACCTCCACCAAGCCAGGGTGTCCATATTTCTCTAAGTATGGTTCTTCTCCCTTCTGGTATAGGATAATCTGCCCCCTCCGCCCTGCTCATCCACATGTCCATCAAGTGCTCCTCCCTCCCCCAATCTCCTCTTCCAGGAAGCCTTCTCAGGTTACTATCAGGCCTCTGATTTTGCCCTCTTTACTCCCATATTGTCAGGCACTACGTAGGCAGTGGCAGATTCAGCATTTGCTGCCTGGTGGCTTTGTTAGTGTTCTCCAATGGCTCCACCTGTGTTTATGTCTCTCCCTGATCCAATTCAGGCTCTCCCAGGGTAAAACCTGGCATTACCTTTTAACAGTATCCCAAGTCCCGAGTCAGGGCTCTCTACACGCTGCAGAGCTCAGTAAGGCTTGCTAGCCTCTTCGTAGCAACTTAGGCATCTTCCTCATTTTTTTCCTTTTTAGTGGCTTCTAAAGATTGAAAGAAAAAGCACCCTGGAGAGAGAGGTCTCAGTGTTCCAGGGTTTACGTATAAAGATAGAACAATGAAGAATTTCCTGTATGGACCTATTCTGTTTTCAGGATGTTTCTAACTGGCTTATAACAATGGAACACTTTTTGTTTAGCTCCAGAGAAAGAGACACATTGGGAATGACATTGTGGCCATCATCTTCCAAGAAGAAAACACACCATTTGTCCCAGATATGATTGCGTCCAACTTCTTACATGCCTACATTGTCGTGCAGGCTGAGAACCTGGGCACGGAGAGCCCATCCTACAAGGTAAGGAGAAGCTCTAGTTGGAGGAAGCGGGGGGCCCAGGCACCTCACCACACTTTACGGAATCAGTGATGTCAAGAAACACCACTTCTCAGTGGCTCCTCAGACTGGTCTCTAACACGTGATAGATTTCCCACGAGTTCTTGGGTTTCTGGGATTTGGAAGCTAGACTCCTGGAGAGCACCTTCTGAGGCTCCCTGGTCCGTCTTGCTGCCTCCAGATGGGACAGCCTCTAACTCAAGGGTTGAGAAGCCTCCCTTGTCCCTATTTGGAATCTGGTAATGCTGTTTGTTAGGGTAAGGCAGAGCCACAGGAGAGAAAAAAAGAGAAAGTGGAGAGGACTCTCAGGATAGGGGAGAGGAAGAAAGGCGGTAACAAACAAAGGAAGACAGGAAAAGGAGAAATGTTCATGATGAGAAATGGAGAGCAAGGGTCCTGGTAGACCCTGGCCCCTGGGGGGGCCCTCTGGTTTAGCTGTTCTGGGCAAATGAGCCATCTTCATTTGAAGACTCCTGGGGGCTGGGGTGGGGTGGGCTTGTGAGCACCTGGGTCTCAGCTCCTGACCCACGAGTGGACTTTCTCAGACGCCTCACTGATGCAGATGCGCCTCGGGCCCTCACCCTGCCCCTCTTGATGGCTGTGTCATTAACCCTCGCCTTCTCTTTTCCGTCAGAAACAATTCCAAACTCTTGGGCCACAGTTTCTCTGTTGCACAGTGGTGGTGGGGGGCAGGGGACCCAAGGGAGATAGACTGAGGCAGGGGTTTTAAAGTGGATGTTAGATAGTCTTTGAACCCTTGGTAGATAGGTACAGACTGTGGAGTTCACGTGCTGCTTTGTGTCTCCCGGGGAGGGAGGCCGTAGCCCAAATTCTGAGAACTCCCTGCTCCCCCCGGTGTTAGGAGCCAGCGTTGTCAGGGAGAGCAAAAAGGAGCTCTTGGGAAACCCTGAGGCCTGCAAGGCTTCCTGTGTATTAACTTAGGCCAGTGCTGGTTCTGGGGTTCAGGAGGCCATAGCACTTCATGGCTGTCTTTACAAAGTATTAATTTGGTTTGATTATTCTGGGAAAGAAAAACGATGTTCTATAATCGTTACATGATTGTTTTATCAGTACAAATCCAGGTATATTAAGTGCAAAAGTCACATCCACTTGAAAACCAAATAGGAGGCTTCCAAACACAGAAGAAACCCCACACTCTGTCCTATGGAGGATAACTGATTCCTTTACAGGCCCGTGTTCACGCTCCTCTGTCACTGAGCAGTTTTAGCTGAAAAGTCGGAGAACCCATAGTTTGGGTATTTCCTTGAAGGCTTTGACCCACATGGGCATGCTCGTCAAAAAGCTGCCTAATTACTTCATTGGTGGAAGCAAGCGTACTCATTCAGTGCCTACTATGTGGGCACGTGGAAGTGACATACAGAACCAGCTTCAGGGAAGGGGCAGAAGAGGCTGTGAGCACAGGTCAGCCATTGGGCCACTCAGCCAGCCACCTGGTTCATTTAACAGCTCTTGGAGGGAGAGTGCAACAGAGAAGGATGCTCAGAATAGAGCTGTGTGATAGGAGAGCTCCGGTCCCTGCCAGGCAGTCTTGGACATGTGTGGGGCTCGTCTGCTGGGCCTCTGCTGGCGGAATGAGGCCTCCTGTGGACGTTTAGTGTTTAAGTTCCTGGTAGGAAATGGAGTCCAGCTAACTGGCTTCTTCCCTTTCCCAAGAACTTTAGTAGAGTTAGGAAAATAGAGAAAAATCAGAGAAGCACCACCCCACCCCCAGCACAGATGCTAGAAGTCTTTACCAAGTCTCCCCAGCCACAGCCTCTGGTCCGGGGAGAAGCACTGTCCTCAGAGAGGTGAGAAGCAGAGCTCACGGGGAGAGCGGGGCTGCCCCTGGGATGTGGGACCTTGGACTCTACCAGCCAGACAGACATCCAAGCTGGAAGGCAGGACCTGTGGGTCAGGGCAGAGGACAGGGAGGGAGATCAGCTTTCTTAGGTGCCCCGCAAAGCTCTGTCCATCATCCAGTGATGGGCAGACTGAGGAGGACCTGGTTAGATCCCTCAGGGGGTACAGGTAACGTGGACCTCAGCTGACCCCTGCAGGCTTGGGGCTTATGGCAAAGGAGGGTGAGAGTTCCCCAGGGACTGAGCAGTGTCCCAGGAGGCCCCTACTGGGGAGGACAAACAGGAAAGAGAAGGAAGGGGGCAGGACAGGGGTGGGAATGTACAGGAAAGAGCCTCAGACAGAGAGGCTTGGGAGCCTGGGGTTCTGGTCCTGGCCCTGCCTCTGACTGTTGTGTGACCTTGGGCCAGTTCCTTCCCTCTCTGAGCTTCTGTTTCCATCTGTATGAAATGAGGAAGTTGGAGTAGACAACTACTGACCTCCTTCCAGCCCTGACATGCTGTGGAGAGGAAGGAGGTGGAGCTGAGTAAGAGGAGTGTGTGTGTGTGTGTGTGTGTGTGTGTGTGTGTGGTGGATTAGGAAGTGGTTTGGGGGAACTCTGTAGTATTTCATCCTTTATTAGGCGCAGGTCAGCAGGGAAAATAAAAAAGCACCAAGTGACAATGATTACTCCTCACTGGGTGTTCGCTTTGTGCTAGGCACTGTGCCAGGCCCTTAAAAGCAGTCTTCTTAAATTCTCATAACCCTCTGGTCGGATAGGCCTCCCGTTAGCCCCATTTTATGGTGGCGGGAGGTGGGGGGGGATTGAGGCTGAGAGCTTAAGTTTCTTAAGACCTGAGGCCACAGAGCCTGGAAACAGTGGAGCCAGAGTCCTGTCCGGGTCTGACTGTGGGCCTTCCTCATGGAGCCGTCACAGCAGGTGGGAACTTGGACCCACCATCTGGGGTGTGCATGAGACATCACATCAAATTATGTTTCAGACACACATTTCATCCCCATCCTGCCAGACTCGAAGGAAATTCCAGCTGAGCCTTCACCAGGATGCCATCCCCTCCCTGTCTGAGCTCACCCTGCCCCGACTCCTGAAGTCCTGCAAAAGTGACCAGGGGACCGGCTCCTGGCTGTGTGCCCCCTTCCCCTCACTACTGATCTGTTGCTTGAGCAACCTCGTGGTCCTCCAGGGCTTTCAGGCCACCCTTGGGCAGGTGTGGGGATCTTATCAAGTGTGGAGTCCTTGGAGGCACCCCCACTTCTGGTGCATCCTTCTTACTCCCACACCCGTGCCTCCTCCCGCTTTCTGGTCTTGAAGAGCCTCTTCCCCTGAGTCACCTGCTGCCTCTCTCCTTCCCAGCCCCTGCAGGGAGGCCCTGGCTGGATTTAGAAAATAGGAAGGTGAGGTTGTGTTCAGGCAGCTTCTGCTTTCAGCCCAGCAACCCAACCGTCTGCAAGAGGAGGGAACCACAAAGGCCCAGGCGTTCGGACGGGAGGGAGCGTGTGGGGTTAGAGAACGGCCAGCAAAGGGAGGATCCCATCTGCGGCCTTTCTGACCCAGCTGCTGCGGGGCGGTGGGCTCGTGGGCTTGTCCGGCTGGGAGACTCAGGCCGATTTCAGAGCATACCGAAGCCACTCACCCAGCCAGCACAGAACACACTAGTGCAAGCCTGAGGAGGGGGCGTCGGGGTGGAAAGAGGAGGGAGCTGAACCTGGCCTTGTCCCAGTCAGCAGCCTTTCCATGGCCGTCCCCTCCTCCTGACTTTGGCTCTGTGGGTGGAACTCTTGACTTGTGCCCGGGGTGCATAGTGACTGGTGGAGGGGCACAGTTTGGCAGCTGGAAGCAGCCAGAAATCACATCAGCCAAATACACGCCTTTTCCCGTCTCTGGGCACCATAGTGTGGGCTGTGTGGACAGCCTTGGGCTGGGGGAGAGAAAGCTGTACTGACCAGCCCTCTCCCGCTCCCCTCCCTTCCAGATCCTGGCAGGGCCCTTCCGGCCCGGCTCCGAGCTGCCCGCACACCCGGTCTGGCAGACTCTCTGCATCTGCCCTACTTCACGGGCCCGGGAGGCTGGCGGTGCGCCAGGGCTGGGCTTACGCCAGCAGCCACCCGGGGAAGGGAGAGGGCAGAGTCTCCAGAGAGGCCTGCAGCCTCGTGGGCTGAGAACAGGTGAAACCAGGGCATCTCCAGGCAGAGAGGGGAGATGGAGGTGTGGGACCTGTCCTGAGCCTGGGAGACCCCACGAAGAACACCTTGGTGCCCTCTCTCCATTAGTTCCTGCCTCACCAGGCTGGCCAGAGGTGCACACCCCACCCCGAGCCTGCATGCCCATGCAGAGCACCTGCATGTCCCCTCGCCCCCAGTTCCCACCCTGGGCCCTGGTGCTCTGTGGGTTCAAGCCTCACCCAGACCGACCCCGCGTGTGGGGTCGGGGCTCCCAAACACCAGTCTACTGACTGCACAGATGCTCTCAGGAGCTTCAAACAGTTGCAGAGTCCTGACTCCACCCCAGAGCTGCTGATTCAGTAGGTTTAGGGTGGAGCCCATGAAATCGGTATTTATTTTTAAACACTTGAAGTGATTCTGATGTATGGCCAGTCTTGGGAGTCAGTGTTGTGGGAGAGAACTCCCGAGCAGGGTTAGAGAGCTCTGGATCGTCTGCTAATCTCCGGGGCTAATCTCCTGTGTGCCTTTTGAGGGATGGCTCCACGGCTCTGGGCGTCTGTATGGTCATCAGGAGTACAGGGCTGATCATTGTCCCTGCGCCTTCTCTGTAGGATTAGCATCTTGTCAAATGAGGTGATGAGATAGCATTTCCTGGGCTCTTGTACTGCATCAGAATTAGGGTTCCAGGCTGCTCCTCAGCCCCGCCCCGTCATCTTGCCAAACTTGCTTCCCGCCTCCAGGAATGCAGACGAGGGCGTGTGGATGGCTCTGCGCAGTCCAGCCCCACTTCTAGGAATAGTGACTTGGGTTCACTGGCGCTGGCCCAGGGGGCGCTTTCTTTGTATTCTGGGAAGGGGAGGAGAGGGAAGGGGGCTCCCCCAGGGCCAGGGCTCGAAATGCTCATCATCCTCAGCTTGTGTCTCCCTCCTGCTGGCCCACACCGAGCCTCTGTGTTTCAGGTCGCGGTCACCGCCAGGGAAGATGTGCCTGCCTTCGGCCCACCTCTGCCCAGCCCCCCTGTTTTCCAGAAGGTAAGAAACTCTCCTTCTGCTTCTCTCATGTCTGAGATTCCAGGTTTCCACACCTGAGTGGCAGTGGTTGCAGGGGGGGAACTTGAGAACCTCCTTTACTTGGTGTCTGTCCCCACCTCTCCTTGTGTGGCCAGTCTGGCCCAGCACAAGGCCTCTTGTCAGGGTGCTTGACACTGGGGTTGTCTTTCTGCTCAAAGGAGGGTTTTATGCTGTACGCCAGTCCCAGGAGCCTTGGCACAAGAGGCCTCCACTCATGGAAGTGCTATGGTGGGTGTGGAAGGTGGATTTGCCAGCACCAGGGGAGCTGGTTTTCATGTTGGCATCTTAGCAAGTGGGCTTGGGCTGGGCTAGAAACGATGCAGTGTCAGAAGTAGACCTTCCCCCCCAGATCCCCTGAACTGCCCACCTCTTACTGTGGTTAAAGCCCTTTGGCAGCAGCTGAGGGTGGAGCATCTTGTCTGTTCCAGGGCCCAGAGTTCAGGGAGTTTCTGCTCACCAAGCTCACCAACGCGGAGAACGCTTGCTGCAAGTCGGACAAGTTTGCGAAGCTGGAGGTGAGCACGATGTTTCTGGTCTTCGTCCTGTCCACCGGGCCAGTCTTTCTTAGGGGTCTATTCTTGGGAACTGTTTAAGGTGGGGAAGCACCATCTTTGCCCCTTTAAGCCTTCAGCATTGTGTTGATGTGGAGCTCTTTCTTGTGGGAACTCCATCCAAACTTTAGGTCTAGTCAACTATTTGCCGATCACTTATTGAGCACCTACTGTGTACTGTGCTCTGTTCTGTTCCCTGGAATACTGGGATAAGTGAGACAGTTTCTGCCCCTACAGAGCTCACAGGCTGGTGGAGACAGGTATGATAGAGTGCCCTGGACTATGATGGAGGCCAGCAGGGGCTGTGGCTCAGGGTAGTGGCTGCTTCTGCCTGTGAGGAATGGAAGGTGTGTTCAGGGAAGGCTTTTTAGAGGAGGTGGCCTTTGAGCTGCCAAATCTGGATATCTAGTGAGATTTTTGCCAGGAGGAAAGATTGGGGAGGGTTATTCCAGGCATGGGAAACAGCATGAACGAAGGCCAGGCAGATTCAGAGCATGACTTTGTGAGGGAGCTCCAGAGGGTTGGATTCATGAGGGGGATGGAATGGTGGGAGGACCAGCTGCAGATGCTGGTTGGGTCAGATCAGGAAAGGCTTTGAGCTAGAGGTGATAAGGCCCTAATAAAGTACAGGAGGAGGTGGTAGAGGTGGCGGGTAGACTGAAGGCAAGAGGGCAGGAAGGGGGCCAGCTAGAAGCTATTATAGAAGTCCAAGAGACACAGTGGCAGCTTGCTTCCACTGGACACAGGAAATGATCAGAGTCAAGAAGACTTGATGGACTCTTGTATATAAGAGTGGGGGGAAGTGGGATTGTGGGGAGCCCTTGGCTTGGGCTCTTTGCTGACATGGGACCACTGGAGTTGAATTCTGTCTGGACCTCCTGTTTGGCGGCGCCGGCAAAGGCTAGGTTGCTGAAAGGGCTGGTCCTGGTCTGTGTGAATGGCGCCCCCTGGAGGCTGTAGACATGACCTTGGATGCACACCTGGTTGGAGAGGAGCTGTGGGCAGTTGGGTACATGCAGGTGGCGCCTGCGGCAGAGATCTGGGCTGGGAGTCATCAGGGCAGAGCCATGGAAGGGTGGGATAGCCCTGAGAGAAGGGAGCAGGGGGCCGGACACAGAGCTGTAGTGTTAGCTGCAGCATTTGTGAGTGTGGAGCCCAGCCTGGTCCACACTGTCACCAGGATGCAGTTGGCCAGAATCGCAGCCCTTGGGCCAGGTGTCTGGAGCCTCCCGGGGGAGCACATCTATGCTCTCAATGACAGCTTAACTACCCCCCATCCTCCTCTCTTCCAGGACCGGACGCGGGCAGCCCTCCTGGACAACCTTCATGATGAACTCCATGCCCACACGCAGGCCATGCTGGGACTGGGCCCAGAAGAGGACAAGTTTGAGAATGGGGGCCACGGGGGATTCCTGGAGTCTTTCAAGGTACGAGCACAAGGGTGGCTGGGGAGTGCCAGGGGAAGGAGAGTGGGTGAACAAGAGAAACTAACCGGACGAAGTCCACATGATCCTGACCCCAGAGCCCAAGTGCCAGCTAAGGTGACAGGACCAGCCAGGGCATTGCAGGTGTTTGCAGAGGGCAGGGGTGTCAGGAAGTGTGAGCGGTCAGAGCAGCCATCGGCGTCTCTGGTGTCTTCTACATCCTTT